CGGTAAGGTCTGATATGAAGCTTACAGCAAGGCCTACAGTCCCCAGGCCAAAAATAGCAACATTGGACCCTGACTCTACTTTTGCTGTGTTCCAAACAGCGCCAAGACCTGAAAATACCATAAGCAACAGCTTTTAATGAATTCTGAATAGAAATTATTTTACGTGAAGAGATTCATTCAAAAGAAACGAATGGATCAGAAAAACAAAAGGCAAATTGAACGTCAGCTGCATTGTCTCCCCTTGGATAGAAAACACACTTGACAGTTAAACTTCAACAAACAAATAGATCTCTTTATCTAAAATTTTCCTTTCTCTTCCCAAAATTTTCACAGATGAAACAGGATAATGATGCTAGTCAGTTCAAAGTCTGCAGTGATTACGGTGGGGGAGTTGGGACTGTAATTTGGTATGCCAGAATTTTTTTCCTTCTTTCCTATTGGTTGTGAGTTGTGACATGTTAGTTGAGAGCCTTCCGCATCCTGACCTCATGCTAATATAGTTTTGTTTGGCACCTACCGTAACCCATAGAAGGTCTTTTCTTCGTCTTTCAAGTTTATTGACTTGTTTGTACCCACTTTCATTGGTGGGATCATAGTTTTTCTTTTTCTTTCCTGGGCGTTTTGCTCTTGCATTTAAAGGTGTAGAAATTGTCCAACTACAAAAGTAATAGATATTGATGCAAGTTTAACATATCACTACCTGTGGGAACACCACATCCAAGAAGGCATACTTTATCCAAAGGAGCCGCGGGGTCAATCTTTGCAACACTAACATCATGAACAACAGTGTATTGACTAAATGTTGACGTGCCCATGAAGTGATATATAGGTTTTCCATTTATTAAGAAACGACTCTGACGATCTGACATCATTACTCCCACCCCCGTGGCAGCACGAACTTTGCCACAAAGGTTAGTTTTCCCCGATTTGCAAAATTTGCATTCTCGACATTCTGCTTGGTAGCAAGGAATGACATGATCTCCAGGCTGAACTTCAGTCACACCTTCACCAACACTCTCTACAATCCTGACCATGGGTTTTATATTGCCGTTTAAGCAATGAAATAAATATATAATAAAAACAAGAATATCTGGCATCCGACTTCAAAAAGAAAGTTATATACCCTGCAGCCTCATGACCAAGTATACAGGGGAAGAGACCTTCAGGGTCCTGAAAAGAGATGAAAATCAGACCTCAGAATTTGATATTGAGAGACTCGAGTTTTTACTTGTGCAGGAAATAAAATAATAATGATGATGATAATAACAATGCACAACGTTGAAAAGAGAGATATGCAAATAATTAATCACACAGAACATGTAGGTCCTCGATGCATTTTAGGGGCAAGCTCTTGGTTGTAACATTTATTCCATAGCCAAAAGCTCTTGTTTTATTTACAGGATTGAAGCTCGAATGTTCTTCACAACACTACTTTCAGTATGCAAAAAAACTTGCAAAATATTTCACATGTAAGGGAGGTGCCACGTGAACTGGAAAGATAATGAACTAATTACATTTTAGCTATCGAAGTGTTTGGGGCTTGGTTGTCCTCCCCTCTTTTGTATTTCATTCCATGCATGAAATTGTTACTTATCCAAAATAAAAGACATCTTGGTTATCAGAGTGATTGACTTTTAGTTATAAATTAATAGCACTAGTTTACCATATTTCCTTGATCCCTAATTCTAGACACTCCACCGTTTGGAATAGCACGCCCCAAAAGTAGCAAGGTTTGTGAAAGACAACGAACTGCCAATTAAACCATAAAATCAATTGGCAGTTATACATGACTAAAAATTGAGAAACAAGTTTTACACAACCTATTTGATCTCAATTTTTTAAAGAGAACCAGTTTTCAACCAAACGAAGGAAAATACAAAAACAGCCCATCACAAATAGTATCAATCCAGGAATAGGAAGAACAATTAGGCTACAAGTGAAGCAAAGAACCGGTTCTAGCCAACGCTATAAAGATTTTGAAGAATTTGCAACGGCCGTCATTAGACAATACGCCATAAAGAAGACATCTCAAGTGGAAACCTTAAATCTCGAAGGCCATCCAACCTTGGAGCTAGGATCTTGATATTTAGAATTTCAATAATCTAATTGTCTCAGACCGCAAGGCTGGCACACCCAAAGCCAACCTTGTCCAAATGGCCGAACTCTAACAGAACCAAACATAACACAGCATGCAGAAACCCGGAGTCCCTAATCTGAGCACATCATAACAATCACAAATGCATAAAGAACAACGAATACGTTCCCTTCCACCACCCAACAGAGCGGTACTAAAAAACACGAACTCGATTAATAAAAAAAAAAAAACGAAATCTAATAACCCGCATTGAATCACTCGAAAACAATACAGAATTAGGAAACAATACGCGCCAGAAAATGACCGACAATTGAACCGATTATGATTTGAGAAATTAAAGAAGAGAAAAACAACCTTGCCACTCCAAGTATAAGCATCGGTGTGACAAAGAGCAGTGTAGAGGATCTTGACTCGGACCTCGCCGGCTTGTGGCGGAGCCACCTGAACATCCTCGATCACCAATGGCTTATTGGGTTCCCAGGCCACCGCCGCTGGCAAGAATCAAAAGAGATCGAGCTGAATCAAAAGAATCGACGGCAGAAAAGAAGTGAAATGTGTGTAGGGAGTACCTTTGCATGTGATAACTTGACCTTGAGTGGCCATGGATAGAACTGAAAGTACAGTGAAAGAAATTGAGGAAGAAGATGAGGAGGAGGCAAACCAAAATGTCTCTATTTATGCTTCAAATAATAGCGCCTCTACAGTTTTTTTTTCTTTTATTTTTTCCTCTTTTTTCCCCTTTTATTTGCGGACTGAAAATCTCTTGCCTTCGTAAAGATATAATTGATGTCATGTCTCAACTTTACTTAAATTAATTGAGATTAAATATTCTTCACTTCTTCTATATACAATATATATATATCAAATTAATTGAGATTAAAAATACACACAAAGTCAAAAGTATTTATGCTTCAAATAAGAGGTCCAACCGGATAGCCCAATACTCAAAAGGCCAGCCCAGTGGCTTAAGGTGTTGATTAGGCCCAATCGTTTGGCCCTTTTTTATAAAAGGATTTCTACATTCTTCTAGAATTATACATTATACCAATTTTTTATAATCCATAATCATTCTTTCTAAATTTATTTTACTTAAATCACGTTTTGAATGTGAAACCAAATTTTATTTTATTAAGAAAATTCAAATTTAATCTATATTGTAACTACGGTCCGAATTTGATACCTGATGATATCGATATTGTCACTTATAAAGTTAAAGACTATCTCACATGTCTTTGTTCACATAATTCCTAAAAAGTATTAGGAGGCAAAAAAAAAAAAAAAAAAAAAAATTGTACACCGGATTGAAATAGATAATAATTTCATTTATTTTAAATTTTATATTATTTAAAACCTAACATAAATCCAACCAATTTTGTTTATATATTAAATAACAATGCATTATTGCCTTCGAGATGCAATGTATGTCCTTGAAACAAACAAGCAAAAAAAAAAAAAAACATCTATTATTTAGTTTATTCTGAAATTAAATGAATTTCAATCATATTTATAAAATTGAAGTGTGAACCCATTGAAATAGCTGTAGAAGTCAAAATTCACCCGAATTTTAAAATATAAATATATTTATTTTATTGGATTGCATTGGTTAACTACTACCACATTAAAGATAAGAAATTATTCAATAACAAAAAGGATAAAATGAAAATGAAGAGAGATCGCACGTGGGACGAAGATGGAGAATTGGGTCCTAATATGACATGGCATCAACTGATTGGTCTAGAGAAGCAGATGGAAAAGGGCCCGAGAAAAAGCTACGTCGGTGTGTTTGTAAATAGCTTCGGTCAAACTTCGATATTTCGGTCTTCCATTCTTAATCCGCCACGTGTCTAAAAGATTCTGGTCAACGATTTGACCAAGTAAACGGGATTTCACAAAATTACGTTCACTTCCGACAACGACAAACAAATGGATAATTATCAGATAAATAATCACTAAATATAAACAGCCACCATATATTTTTTTATTTTTTTAAAAATAAATTAAAACATAACAAAAAAATATATTTTCAAATATTATTTACTTTGGATGACGTGTATTTTGATTAATTAATTAATTTATTAATTTGATTAGACGTGTTGCTTTAAAAGTCTTACAATAAATTAGGATTTAAAAGAGAATCATAGTTTAAAAATGATAAATAGAATAAAATATATTCTTAAAAAGAGAATTTAAATATAATATAAATAGATAATTGTACTTTTCAAGTCGTTTTTTTTTAATGAATACATAAAGTAAATATTATATCTTGTTTATTTGACTTTTTTTTTTCTTTTTATAAAATAAACTTGTATAAGCATAATATAACACACATATAACTTTTGGCATACAATACATGTTTTTTTTGAAACATAAATCACTGAAAGCAATCAAACATTGTTTTAAAACTAATTCAAACCAAAATATAACCGTTAAAAACACAAAATGCATGTGTGGGGTTTTTTTTAGTGGGTAGGTGTAAAGTTAGTTGAAAAAAATAAAAAGAAAAAGAAAAAGAAAAAAAAGTAAAAATGCTTTTATCTTTATGTTCTTTAACTAAGTTTTTCTGGAAAGAGGGGCACTAAGGAGCGAGTATGGTGTGGTAGGTCCAAAACAATAAATGAGCATTAAACCAAAAAATATATATATATTATTATAATCACAGTTTTCGTAAATTTTATAAGGGTCAAAACACGTTACTGGTAGATATTGTCTACTTTGGCCCGTAGTCAGCATTCTTTTATCAAACCGATGTGAGATCTAACAACTTTGAACCTCCTAACCTCTATAAATCGCCTCAACCGATATTTCAATTCCCGACAATTTAAACCTCCTCGGTGAATAATAAAAACAAAACAAACACCCAAAGATGAAGAAAAGAAGTAAACTCCCCCCTGATTTGTCTCCCTATAAATCTCCCACAACCTTCTTCCTTCTCATTCTATTCCACTCAAGATCAAAAGATTCCCTTTCTCTTCTTTTTCTTGTTCTTTCTCTATAAAAACCCCACAAATCCCACCCCCTCTCTTTTGATTTCCCCTAAAAAAAATGGCCAATGAAGAAGGAAACAGTAACAATCCTTCAACAAACAACCTCAGAATCATCGTAGAAAGGAACCCTTCTGAAGCCAAGCTTTCTCTGCTCAACATCCAGAGCTGGCCGAAGTAAGTATATCGTAATCTACCAGTTTAAGCTTTCGAGGTGTGAGCTGGGGTGGGTGATGGTTGAGTAATTTTTGTGTAGGTGGGGCTGCTCGGCGGGGAAATACCAGCTGAAGTTCGAGGCAGAAGAGACGTGCTATTTGGTGAAGGGAAAGGTGAAGGCTTATGCCAAAGGATCGGCTGAGACTGAATATACAGAATTCGGGGCTGGTGATTTGGTCACCATTCCTAAAGGCCTTAGCTGCACTTGGGATGTTTCTGTCGCTGTTGATAAGTTCTACAAGTTTGAATCTCCATCTTCATCTTAATTTGCTATAATTTACCTCCATTTTCATTCTTTCCCCTTTTTTTTCTAATTTCTACTCCTTCGTGTAAATATATTCTTTTTATTTTTACTCTTATTTCGTCGTGTGGTCGTCCTCTTCTCGAGTAACAAGTTCGACAATTAAGCAGTAAAAATATTAGTCAATTCACATAAAATATGTGATCTACTTTTTATTGTATTATAGAACTAGAAAAATATTAATTATATGGTTTAAAGTAATACCATAAAAAGTGGAAGGGAAAGTCCATTCAAACCAATCTTCTTCCATATTTAAAAGGGGCTTTTAATGTTCCTTTGACTGGTCAACGTTGTTTTATTGTGGTTGGTATTTTCCTTTGAAGACTTATCCTTTTCGTTATTTTTTTAATGAAACAAATATATCAATTTCTCGTAATTAAATATTGGAATAAAGCTATATTTATGATGGATAAAAGAAGCATGTGGTCCCCGTTTCTAACAGGTTTCCTTACCAATGCGATAACTTCGAATTATAGATTTTCCTTCTTTTTTTTTTAACATATATATATTTTTTTTAACTCTTTAAATGGTAAAATAGTCATTTTCTCGTAGTTTTTCAAAAATAATTATGATGATTAAAATGGTGGTTTTTTATTTTTTTATTATTATATTTTAAATAATGATAGGGCACGATGTCTGCTAATTATTGAATTTAAAAAATAATATATGTTATTTTGAATAATATACCAAACAATAGATTTAAGTGGTAACCGGTATATTCGAAAATAACTATTTTTATTATATAGAACTTTTAATATAAAATTGTCAAATCAAATTGTGTATGTTTTTTTTTTTTTTTTTGTGTAACTCGAGATTTTCGTTGGTTCCTTCCACTTACCAGTTGGAGGATGATAGTAGTTGTTAGATGAACACGACTCTCGTCAATAGTATGATATTTGTTCACTTTGAGCATAAGCTCTTATGGTTTTGTTTTGAGCTTCTCAAAATACTTCAAACCAATAGAGATAGTATTATTAGATTATAAACTCATGATTATTCTCTAAATTAGTCGATGTAGGACTTTCATCATCCAACAGTAGTTACTATTGAGTCATTTGTATTGTAATTTATATTATAAGAAATTAATAATTTTATTTATTTTAATTGTTATTCAACGATACCTATTGTATGGAAAGTATGTGATTGACGTATGAGAGTATAATATTCAATAAATGAAACGGTCTACAAGATAATGTTGGGTGTCTTATCCTAAAAACATTTTTGATATGACTGTGTTGTTACAAATGATTTGATCTAAATCGTTTACAAAGGATTTGTAAATACCGCATCGTAAAAGATATAATATCTCTAATTAGAAATATCAATATTGTCACTAAAATAGTACACGAACTTCAAATTTGAATAAAAAGACCATTCGGTTCGGTTCTCAATACTTTAAAATCGTAACAATCGGTTCGCTTTCCGGTTTAAACAAGACGGAGAAAACCGAACCAAATTTAAAAACTGGAAAAGGAAGGGAAAAAAAATCAGCCCAACCTCCAAGTAGCCCAAAACTCAGCCCACTTTATGAAATAAAATAATAATAAAAAATAAAAATAGAAATAAAACAAAGGGGAAACCTAACTACCATCCTTTTCACCTTCCTCTCGCTCTCCCGCCGGCACCAACTTCTTCGCGCCGGCTCCTTCTACCTTCGAGCAGCTCACTGCCGCTTCCCTCTCAACAGGTTGCACTTATTTTCTACTCTCTTGTTACTGGTATTTTCCCAATCTCCATTTACGTATTTCTACGCTCTTGAACAACCCAAATTAGGACAGGTATGGAAAGGAGGAATTGTTTTGATTCACAGAGGAACCTCAGGCATTCTTTATATTTGTAGATTTTAGCTGGTTTCTATGTGATTTTAGATTAAAGCTATGGTAGCGAAGAAGAAGATGAGCCTTTTGTAGAGATTGAGCTTCTTTCCCTCCGACTATGATTGACCAATCAGTATGGTACTTCTAATTACTGGAAACAAGAGCAGTGTATATTGTTTGTGATGAGTTCAGAAGTTTAAAACAGTGAAATAAAAAGGTTTAGGGCTTCCTCGTAGCCACTTCTACATATAGTATTGACAGTGATTACTAGGTCCATCATCCAGCACCCAAAATCTCAATTACTTTACGAGAGAAAGAATAGAAGAAGAGAACGTTAAACTCTGCCTCATCTGTACACTGCCTCTTATTAAAAAAGATAGTCAAAATTAGTTAATTATTAGAAGCAGACACACCCTTCTTATGGGTTCTAAGGGTACGACTTAATTTGCCCTATTTATGCCGTCTGGATTATAAGTTTACTTAAATTCGTAAGATGGAAGCTAGCAGGGCAGTCTTATCGATTCATTGGCTCCTGAGCAGAATTTCACTATAGTTTACGCTTCCGATATTTTTAATTTCTTTGAGCTGTTAGAGTTGAGAACCTTATTGGCATCTAGAATTTATTAGCATGCTATGCTTACAATTTTTACAGCGCCATGGGAGGGAGTCGACCTCAAGTCAATAAACCCCATAAATCACGCTTCTCATCCAAGGCAACGCGACAACAACACAAAACCTCTTTAAAAGGTGCATATATTCTTTCCTTTTGGTTTGTGGAAACCTGTTTTCGTGTTTCTTTTCTAGTTAATATTTGGTTTATGTAGCTATTGGTTTCTAATTTGAGTTTTGGGCCATCAGATAGAAGCAAAGTTACCAAGAATAATGTTGCTAAGGGAGCTAGGGCTGCTCGTCTTCAGCGTAATAAGATGGTACTTGATGTCCAATCTTTTTCTACTTATTCTTACTTTTTCTTGGGCATATTAAGCTTGTCTCATTGTTGGTGGTGCTTCTTTATTTTAATTACCGAGTTTGCTTGTTGCAGATTCGAGAGCAGAAAAGGGCAGCTGTTTTACAGGACAAAAGAGCATCGAGTGGATCAAAAAATCCTCCTAGAGTTATAGTGAGTAGTTAGAATATCGATAGCATTTTACATTTAGCTTTCTTTCTTATTTAAATCATTTTCTGTTTTCAGATATTTTTCTTATTCTATTTGTTAATAGTACTGATCACAATGACCACAGGTTCTGTTTGGTCTCTCCGCCTCAGTAGACCTGAATCCACTTGCTGAGGATCTTTTGTCTCTGTTAGCTCCTGGATCTTCGTCATCTACAGTTGCTTCTTCAGAGTACAAGCTACGGGCAACAGTAAGTTATATCTATGTGATTCTTCATGGTTTTAGTGATATTTTCTAAGTAAATTATTTTTAATAATGTTGTTGGGTCATTGCGAGCAAAGGTAAGTTATTTTTTTCACAATACTACCCTTTTCCATTTATTGAATTGTCCAGAGCCCCTAATAATCTTTTTCTGTACCAATCCTTATGCTTGCTTTCATTGGGTCAAATTGTTATGCTTCAGGTATTGAAAGCACCCTATGGTGATTTGCAATCGTGTATGGAGATGGCTAAGGTTCTAACTTCTCCTGAAATTGTATCTTTTGTTATTTCTTCACTCATCAAGTTTTAAGTTTTGATCTTTAGTTTATTAATTGGCCTTGTACCCATTAATTTGTAGGTAGCCGACCTAATTGCTTTTGTGACCTCTGCGAGCTACTATATTGAAGGAAGCACATCTCTCTACATTGATTCATTTGGAAGCGAATGCCTTTCCCTATTAAGATCTCTGGGTTTACCAAGTACTGCAGTGTTTATTCGAGTATGTTCCTTTTTTGAGACTTCTAATCTAAAAGGAGAAGAATTCTTTGCTCGTACAGTTAAAGCTTTTTTTTTCCCCCTTTTCTGGCAGGACCTACCCACTGATATAAAGAAAAGAAACGATTATAAAAAAATGTGTATTTCTAGCATTACTTCTGAATTTCCGGAGGATTGTAAGTTTTATCCTGCAGATACTAAAGATGAGTTACACAAGGTAAATAAGTTTCAGTTGTTCGTGTAGGTTACTCATTTACACACCTTTTTATGCTTATTTAGTTATTTTAATGATTTGTATTTGTATTTGCAGTTTATGTGGCTTTTTAAGGAGCAAAGACTCACTGTTCCTCATTGGAGAAATCAAAGGCCTTATTTGATGTCTCAAAAGGTCTTTAAATATGTGTATTTTAATACATTCATAGCTTTGATCACTGTTTTCCTTTTTACTCTATGAGGAACATCTGCTTGTTATTTATTATTTTGCTAATTCTCTGGCACTACCGTAGGTTGATATGGTAGCTGATAATTGTACTTCAGGAAAATGTACCCTTCTTCTCACTGGTTATCTACGTGCTAGGAGTCTTTCTGTGAATCAGCTGGTAGAGTCCTCTGCTTTGCCATTTTTCTTGCTTCAGGTAGGTTGATTTGTTGTTCATATGTGCCTTTCTTTTTATCAGGTTCATGTTGCTGGAGCAGGAGATTTCCAGCTTTGCAGAATTGAAGTTCTCAAGGATCCAGTTCCATTGAATCCAAGAATGGAACAAGATGCTATGGATACTCACGATGTGGAGGTAATTATATATTTTCTACTGAAAAGCTTTTCTTATAGATTAGTTTCTTCATTAACTGTTCAGTTTGAGAAATGTATTAATAGGCGGATGGAATTTCCTTCTCTCATAGGTATTACGGTGCATATTTTACTTGCATTGTGCTTCAAGTGAAGTTTTTAAATAATATTTTATGTTTGCATATAACGCTTGCTCCTTGTGTATGCATTCACTTTCTTATGGATTTTAAATTTCACCTTTCTTGACATGTAGGTTGTTCAACTGTTGGAGCCATCAGAGCAAGAGCCATTGGTTGTCGAGAACGATCCTGATCCTCTGTCTGGTGAACAGGTGTTCTTTTTTAATAAGAAATATACTTTTCTATAAAAACCGAGTCAAGACATTGGTCTTTTTTCATGCATGGTTTACTATTCTTAATTTCCTTGCTATTTCTTCTTTCATTGTGGCTGGTGGGAGTTAAATACATGATTTTAAAATATTCATGTAAAAGCTAAAAAGAAGTTAACTTGAGATATGGAAGTCAACTAGATTAGAAATATACTTTTTATTCTTGTTATTTTTTTCCTCGTAGTTTTAAAATTGTTTTAGTCTTGTTATATGCTTCCAAACTAATCTAAGATCCTTAAGGTGTTTCTCTACATTCTTTAATCTTGTTGTACAAATGCTAT